GAGGTACGAAGAACGGACCCCAGGTCTAAACTTCAGCCGAACCAAAACAAAAAAATCCACTGGAAGCTTCTCCCTCCAGGCTGGTGGACTTTCCTGCGATGCTGACGATGCGCTGCCAGACGAGTACGTATATTTTCTAGAAAACAAACGCAAGCGAGCAGAGCAGAGGCAGGGCAATGGGAACGAGCAGGAAGAACGGAAAGCATATGGAAACCTTTGTGAGTGGAAGGAGGTGAAGGATCCTCTCTGCCTTTCTAAGAATAATGAAAGACGCACGCCATCTTTCCAAGACTTGGTGACTGACTCACTTCCTCTTGTAGAAAGTTGAAGCCTGCTGCAGCACACTTGCATAACAAGCAGCCGCCAAATGCTTACTGTCTTTCTGATTCAGTGCTTTCAAAAACAAGCAGCAGTAAGTGCTCGGTCATTATCACTGCTATGTGTGAGAAAGTGCTCAGAGCTTCCTTTTCATTCACTCACCAAAATAATATTAAATAGGAAATTGTGAGTTGCAGTAAGAGTACAATCAAAGTTTGATCACTGCTGGGTGATCTCATGATCTGTACAGTCTATTTGTGAGAAACACTTCTCTCTTCGATTTGTTTGCTACCTGCAGGCTGACGATCATGTGTCTGTAACAAAACTAGTGACCGGTACGTGAGCTTGTTCCAAACTTCAGAAAAGCAGCTGGAAAGAAGAGCAAGCCGATCAGTGGGAAGATTACACCTTACTATTTGAAGCGTTGCTCAGGTGTCCCTCGGAGAAAGTACAGTGTGTGTTTGACAATCTGCTAATTGGTAGCGTGAAAACAGATGAGAAGAAGACGGACGCAGATACAATGACCAGGTATTGACGTGCGGCCCCCTGGACCCGAACTTAACCCCCAGGCACAAGGATGAAAAACACAGGCTCTCTCAAACTCCCTGGGTTACAAACGCACGCACGCTCGCGGACGCACGCGCTCAAAAGCTGTCAAATCAGTTGTGGGCAAAAGACCTGCAACTGACAAATAAAGGCTATCTCATCTCTGGTCTCCATCTTACTTTCTCTGTATTTAATCTAGACTGTGACGCCAGTGAAATGCATGAAAGATCAAAGAGCTGTGTGCCAGCTAAAAGTGGAAAACAATCGATGCCTGGGGTACAGCACATGATGAAAGTTTTAACAAATGGACAGACAGCGACCTGTTGGAAAATGTTAATGTAACACCAAAGTCTGTGTGTAAAGAGTAAAGGCTGGGACTGTTGTAGGCATGCCAGATCCTATGCAGCCCAGCTGTTTTCTTAACAGTAACAGGAGCGGCTTCCATGCAAGCAATCACACAAACACACAGAAACACTGAATGTGACCTACAGCATCCACATCCTTCAAACAACCACAGACGTGCACTGCCGCAGTGCATTGTGGGGAGCTAATTAACATGAAGGAATGTGGTCTCTGAGCAACCATGACCTACAAGCTGAGCTCAAACTTCTTCCTTACGCGTTCTCCACCTCTGTGCCTGAGGCGTTTTAGAGAAGGTGTAGTCACTGGTGCGTTGAAATGCAGCCGAAATGATCAGCAGCTCAGGGGAGTCGGGAGAGACGAGGGGAGGAAAATGTGGGCATTTCGTCAGCCCGCAGTGTGTTTCTGACTTTTTGCCCAGCCGTGTGTGTCTGTGTGCACGTGCTGCACGGGAACGCCGGCGAGGTGAAATGTCAGATTGACTGCTATCATCCGTGTCTATCATTGTTCTGCTCCTCACTCCTTTCCCTTTGTTGCCTCTGTGTGTGCTCCTCCTGGGCTTGTCTCCACTCAGTGTGGTCTACAGCAGCGCCCTGTGGTGGTTTGCTCCTGACTAATCAAACTAGTCAGTGTCACCGGAAAGCTTCATCTAAAACACATGGCCATGTCAGTTCCCTTCACTCAGCAGACTTTCAATGTTTAGCCGGTCTACAGAACAGAGTGCTGAGACGAGCCGCAATCAGACGAGAGGAAAACAATAGTGACAGAACATCTAGAAGATAATATCACTAACAAAGTGTGCATGTTTGTATTTTTCCCGTTACTACTTGTGTGTACATATCTTCATGCACGACGATGGATGAGAACGGGTTGTTTACATGTGTCAGCCCATGTGTTCTCGTGTCACTCCTACCGTCGAGTGCGAGGTGAGAGTGTGTGCACACGTTCCCAGTTTACCTCATAGAGCAGGCATCCTAGCGACCAGATGTCAGATTTGAAGTTGTAGCCGTTTTCATGTATCCTCTCCGGTGACATGTAGTAAGGCGTACCCACTGGAACACGGTGGGAGGAGGGAGGGGGAAGAGAAATGGACGAAACAGGAAACAGGACAAAAACAAAATGAATGTTAACATTTTGCAAACCTGTTTTTCCTCCACATCAACGCCCACACGGCTCATACAGGGTTGGAGGTTCAACATGTTTTTGTAACAAAGTGTGTTGTCTGTGTCATTTTTAAATAAGCTTGGATGTGAGGTCACATATTAGCACACATACCAAGACCATGCATGTGTGGCACACCCAAAATGCATGGCCACTTTTGTGTTAATCATTTAATTTAATTAATTTAATTTGTTTATTTGTTATTTTCTGTGACTATGAATATTCAAAATGACTTTGGTAACATGACCAATTTATGCAGTATATTATTTTGTCACACGAACTGTACAGAAGGTACAAAAAAACACCTCAGGTGGAACTATTATTTCAAGGCAGGTGCAACCCAGTTGCTTTAGGGGGATGGACTTCCGCCCACTATTCAGATGCGAGGCAAACCGAGTGCACTGTCTTAATTGCTCCTGAACTTTACCTGTATTTGCAGGTTAGTACCTGGTAAAAAAAAAAA